TAAAATAAAACAAACCCGAACTCTCCAGCTTGAAGTATATTAAAAAATCTTGGGACGCCGTTAAGGGTCCTTTTTGGACCTTGATCTCTGGAAAACTCCTAAACCGTAAGACTTGGAGACAAAAAATTTTTTTCGTTCCAGTAACTCATTGTGCCGAACATTTATGGAAAGTTTCGTCAAGATCGGATGCACGGTGTACGAGATAATTTCTGAGGGGGGGCCTTAAGGAAAGCTTGATTGTTTCTCAAAGTTTCTGAAAACCAGGTCTTCTAAGGAATGTGACAAAACTGAGAATGTCATTAGAACCAGCATGACCTAAAACCCAGACCCCTCAGACGATTTAAAAAAATGTTTTGTTGGGGATGAGATATGAAAAAATATTTTTCATGAAACTCGACTATTGATGAAATACATCAGGAAACTGGTCTGAGTCACGGTACGATCGCGAGAATTACTTCTAACCATCTAAAGCTAAAAAAATGACCGCTCGCTGGATACTCCACGAGCTGATTGATACTCAGCGAGCTGAACGTGTTCCAATATGTCAAGAAAATTTGGGATAATTTCAACAAGGAACGTGACGGTTATGCGACATAGTGACAGGCGACGAGTCATGGTTTCATTCATAAACAAATCGGCGGAAAGGCGTCCTATGCTGCCTGGATAGCAAGCGGAGAGACTCCATCAACTGTGATTCGACGCAGTCGCTTCGCTCCAAGAACCTTGCTTTTGTACGGTATCAACGTCGTTGACAGTTAAGTCAAACTAATCATGCATATTTAATGTAAGATTCTTTACTTACAAGAAAATTAAACGTTTGTATTTACTTAGATAAGGAAATTACAGATGGCATGCTTTGTTTTCCATGAAAAGTTCAAATAAAATGTTCAATATTTTTACTTACTACAAACATTGAAACTTTCGTTAACACTTCTGTTAACAATTTTGTTCTACCTCCTAAAGTACAAAAGTCGATAAAATGTTAGGTTACGTGCAGTTTGATGTATCTCATTACCTTATATTACTGCTAAATAATGGAAGAGCTCAAGACAATCAGCTAGTTATACCATATTGGCGTAATCAATACAAAAATTTTTACTATTAATCAGAGATTTGATTTATATTCTTTGGTTCTTACTGTTCTGCTCGAAAGGAGTCTTAATATTGAATTGAGTCGTGCAATCATTTGTTGATAACATAAATTTGAAAGCAGACGGGTAAAAAAGGTGTTTTTATGAGATGCACTACCTAACTACCAACTGTTTTCGGCTCTGAACAGACGTTTGTATTCTTAAAAACTGTGATTTTTCAGATATTAACTATATATGGATAACGTTACAAAAAAGAAAAGAAGTCTCGTTTGACATTACACAACGAGAACGGAAAAATATAACGTTAGTCACTCATCTCATCTCTAGCTCAAATACCATCTAGAGTATATGTTTCGATATGGCTTGATCCGCACAGCTCAGATCATGTCAAAACTGTTTGGAAAAAAAGTTTATCAAAATAGACCATAGCGGACACGTTGGTGCAAACCGCGATCCTTGTGACATCTACACAAAAAGTTGCACACGAAAACAAACAACAACGTCCTGCACGGTCAATTTTTCGGGACACTGTAGTTATCTTACTTTCTAACTACACAATATTAAAAAGCCACTTTTGTTTAATATGTAGAATACTCCCAAAATTCGGAATGTTCTTTTTGAGATGACTGAGTTGAGAGCTATGGAAGAAATATCATTTTTAATTTTCTAAAACAATCGTTCTGAGAAAAGCTGAAAAAGCTTAGAAAGTTTAGGATTGTTCATATTTCGCATCATATTCTATATACAGAAGCAAGATACGTCTTGCGCTGTATTTCAAATATAAATCATCAGTATGCCTTCCCTTTGATTGCTTTTTGACCAATTTACTTTAAATCAAGGATCCCTAATGAATCGAGGTATGCATCTAACCCTGTTAGGTCTCAAGATAAATTACAACTTCAGATGGGTTCAGCACGTTGAAGACCTCGCTTTGTCTTGCAGACAACGTCTTGGAGCTATGTATCACCAATTTAAAGAAGCATCTGCTCATGTCCGGCTTCAAATCTATAAAACCTGCATTTTGAGTAGAATGGACCATGTATGTGCATTATATGATAGTGACTTTGCAAATAACAGTACCCGTCTAGAATCTGTTCAACGCTTAGCTGCACATATGATCACACGGGATTTTAATAGTGCAGGAACTGACCTAGTGAACAAATTAAACCTTTCTCTGCTTTCGGTGAGACGTAAATATTTCCGACTCGTTCTCTTTTTCAAAATTTTTAGAGGATTCTCTCCTCTCTATAGCTTACGCATTATCAGACATAACCCAAACAGACAATCGAATCGTAACACGCTACGTCAAGCTCAAGTCGAGGTTCCTTTTGCCCGAACACAGACCATCCTCAACAGCTTTTTCTACAGAACTGCTCGTGAGTGGAATACAACCCTACTCGAGTCTGTAGTGAACTCTCCCACCATTAAAGACTTCAACACTCGTTTGCGCCAACATCTGCAAATATGATTGTGGTAGTGTAAAGGTGGCAAAAGTCCTACAGGTTCTAAGCACTTTTTCTGCGTTCCTGGCAATATGGTTTTGTTCTCATTTTCATGTTAACGTTTTTGTTGAACGTTTTAATGTAACATCTCTTAAATTAATTGCCAAAATAAAACAAAAGAAAAAAGAAAAAAAATGCTGCAATGAGAAGACAGTATTCAAAAGACATTCATCATAATGCTAAGAATGTCTAAATTTTCACAATATTTGAATTTCAAGAATTTCGAAATGTTCTTTTTGAGATGACCGGGTAGAGTCCTATAGGGGAAATATAATTTTTAATTTTTCTAAAACAGTTGTCCGGAGAAAAAATTGAAAAAGCTTAGAAAGTTTAAGGTTGTTCATATTTCCGTGAAAATTTTAAAAATAAGATCTTTGGTAAATATGTGTAGACTAACTGTACTGTCAAAACTCTTCACTTTTGTTCAATATGTATAATAATCACAAATGATGCATTTTTTACATGCGTTTCTTTAAGTGTACTGATGATGGCATCGAGGTATTCAATTTATCGTCAATTATTGTTATTTAACTGTGATGGAGAACGGTGGAGATTATTTGACAACTTTCAAAGTGGAAAACCATTTCCGAACAATTGTGAATTACACTTATTTTGGAATGATGATAACCAAATGAGCTATTCGTTTAATATGTAATCATTTAATTAGGCTGATGACTAACTAGTGTCGCTCGCTAGAACAAATGCATTCATCAAACTTTTAATTTCGCTTAAGACTTTCATAAACATACAGATCAGTTATGTTGAGAAAAAAGTTAAACATCAGGGTGCCATTTTATTAGATACATCATGGACAGTATTGCAAAAAACTCCAGTCCAGCAAATAACTGTACCATTTAAAATAATTTTTCTTGAACAAGACAAAAAGTATCGACTTAATAATTATACGCGAATTAACGTTATCTATACTAGAGAACTTTCTACTTTTATATGTGCTTGCTGTGCTTTGAACCACAAAATTGTTATAAATTATTTGTTGAAAATTATTGTTATTAATAGTTGATATTTCATGGTAATAAATCAAAAAGTTAGTTAAAATTTGACTGCGAATTATATGTTAATGTTGGAGAATGTTGAATGACGAGTACATATATCTTGATGACAACACATCGTATACAATCGTTTTTAAGTAGTAATTATCCCGAGGAGGAAACAGCTGATTTTTGAGCTTAAAAAATCGGTTTTAATACAAAATCGTTAAAAATCACTAAAAATCGTTAAAAATCGCTAGATTACAAACATAGATAGCCTCGACTATAAAAAAATAACTGTTACAAAGTTTTATCTTCTACTTCTTTTTGCAGGTGGAACTGTTGCTGTATCAATTGCTCGTTTCGATGTTGTTTTAGTTGGAGAAGAAGTCGAAGATGAAGAAGGAGAAATAGAAGTAGTTCCATTACTTGTTATTATCTGAATAAGAGGTATTTGAGGTTGAGTTGCTGGTGTTGTCGCTGTAGTTGAAGACTGCTGTTGTTTACTTTTCTTTTGTAAATCCTTCACATGTTTACAATTATGATCTTCTAGATGACGATAATAATTAGGCAAAATAACTTTGTCTGCAGTTTTAGGCAAAACCAATGTAATTCCTCATTTACATGTAATTATACCTTCAAATCCATGGGATGATGTGGAAACTTTTAGTGTAAAGTCATCTCCATCAGTTAAGTTCAAATCATCAATGTGAAGATTATCTTTATTATCATCACTCCATTGTTTTATCAAATTTAAAAGATAACGTTTATACTGATTATTTCGTTTTTTTTGGTTCATTCAACTTTTCTTCAGTTTTTTTACGCAGATATTCTTTCAGACAGCTAATGCTCGTTCTAATTCCTCCTTTGACCATGTATTGACGAGATTTTAATTTGAAACATATTTCTTCTCTAATTTCATCTAATTGCGGATCATTAATATCGTAATTTAAAATATCACATACGTCATCAGACATTAAGAAACACGGTACACTATTAATATGTTGGTAAGCCAATAGTTTTGCTTGCGAATTACCGAGTAAGTCTTTAACTAAATCATAAAACTGTTGATCTGTGAAACTAAGAGCGGTCGATGATAATTTATCAAGATCGAAGTAAATTTGAGGCGTTGACATTTGTAGTTATTTTTTAAAAAACTAAAGAGACAGATAGTTTTAACAAGATCGAGAAAGAAAGAAGAAGTGACTATAGTTATTTAGAAGAGAAGTAGACTATGTAAAACACAGCTGTCAAATTAAACAGCTGTCGATCAAAAGTATGAAAGAATAGCACTCAAGATAACACTTCTATAGCTAGATAAAGAAAGAAAGAGTGAGACAAACACGTGCCAAAAAGACGCAAAGGGACTTTCTGTGTAAATGTAAACACAGATAGAACAATTCAGAAAGGAAAATTTTTTCATAGATACATATTCCAAAGTGTTCTCAAAGAAAATAATGGAAGCATAAGTAATCACACACGCTGAATCTCATGGTAACATTTCTTTGTCAATAAACTTTCAAAAACCTGGTGAAAATCTATATTAGGTGAAATCCATTTTTACCCATTTTTGAGTAAAATTAAAAAATCTATAAACCAGCCAGGACCCATCTAAATAAGTCAGCTTATCAAGGTGGACTCCATTTTACCTGCTCTATAAAATAGTTAACTTGTGAATAATAAAAATCACTCTTGTACTTCGGAAGGTTTCTAGGAAACCTTTTCGAAAGCCAAAGTATTTCCTGTTGATTTAAGTTTTTATTCAACTGCATAATATTGAGCAAGGAAAATAGAGTACAGCTTCATAAGCTGATATTTAGATGGATCTTGCCTGGTGCATGAATTTTTTAATTTTACTCAAAAGAAAAATAGACAAAAATGGGTTATTTAACCCAATAGAAGTTTTCACCAGGTTTTTGAAAGTTCATTGAAACATAAATGTTACCATGAGATTCAGTGCGGTCGATTACTTACGTTTCCATTATTTTCGAAATTACCACATCCAAAGAAACATTGATTCTAAGGCTCGCAGGAATTCTGATACCATGCCTGAACTAGGAAAACTTAAGAGTTCGCTTAATTCTCATGTAGGAGAGGACAGTTTAGAATATCTCTCTATGGAAAAAGCTGACAGTTTCCTGCTGCTGTCTCAGTTTCCGGAGATTCAAACTGCTTTTCCAAAGATCTCTTACAAAACCAGTCTTTCGGATGCTTTTCGGAGACCTATTTTGCCTGGAAATATAGGCTAAACTGTTTGCTTTCGATCGCTGAAAACCGCAGGTCTCTATATTTTATCGTCTTTGCGTTATTCGAAAAACAACCGACTGCATTATATTTTGGCGCCGGTAGTAGTTTCTTTAAAAAATGTTTGAATGACATTAAGTCAATTTACATCTTCTTCGAGTTCTCTCTCGACTACTTTTTATGTATCTACATTTGTTTCTTGCCATAGTTTTAGATTTCTGCACTTCAAAAAGACTGATGGCTGGAAATGTTTTTGATCAATCTACATTGCCAGATCATGTATTCCTCTTGAAAGGAGAAGAGTTTTTTAATTTAATTCAAACTTTAGTTGGAGAAGTATGTAAAGACATTCTTAAATTACAAGCAATTAGTTCTGCTACATTATTTATAAATACGAATGACATATTTGAAGTATTTCAGTATGATTCAATACCAATCGATGATATAAAAATGAAATCTTGTTTTAAATTAACTAATGGACAATTCATAGTTAAACCAGGAATACAAAGAAGTTTCGAATATCTAACTAAATTATTTAAAAAGAAATATGAACATCAACAACAACATTATACATCAACAGCAATTTCTGAACAGTCTCTTATCGATATAATTGAATCTTGACCTATTCTTCTTTCCTTATTTAATTTCTATCAAAATAAAACTGTAAACAACGACGAAACTCAATTTTTATCATCGTTGATCAACGCAATAACACAGAATCTGTCAACTTCTAAAAGTCAATATCGGTATGAAGATTTTGTTAAAAATTTCGGATTGTGTTTATATGTATTAGGCGGAAAATTAGTATATGAATTCGCCCGCCTCAATTTACCCGGTGCTCTACCTAATTTAATCACTCTTCAGAGTATGATTTCATCAAGTAAAATAATAATAACAGAAGGAAAATTTAGATTTAAACAATTAGAAAAATATTTACAATTATCTGATGTACAGTATGTTTTCTGCGCAGAAGATTGTACCGGTGTCGTTCGAAAATTAACTTTTTGTTAAAAAACTAATAGTTTTATTGGATTTTCCACTCTTTTATCAAACGGGGTACCAGTTGCTTCATATTTTCAAACAGACTCATTCGATAAACTACAGACATGGTTTAGCTCAATTGAAAAAGCACCCCTATTGAACGTTCATATGATTCAACCGATTCCTTCACAGGATAACGTAACAACACCTGGCACATTCTTACTATCAGCCTGCGGCGTGAACAACAGATGTAATTCTTTTGACATCATTCGTAGATGGATGTTTATTCATGAACATTGTTTAGAAAAAGGCATAAAACTTCTTGGATTTTCAACTGATAAGCGCTTCGAAATTTCGAACCTGTCTGGACAGAATTGAGAGTTTAGAATCGATCAAATTTAAAAGTACTTTTACTGAGCAAGAACTTCAGCATTTCCGTTTATTCTATATTTGTTTAGATGGTGACAATAAATATTTACGTGCAATGCGCTTAGTTAGTGGCTTTTTAGCATCGTTTCCAAAATTTAAATTAGCCGATAATATACTTGAAATCACAATAGAAGAATGGTCATGGTTTTATCTACGCCGACGTTAATCTTTTTTATTTTTCCAAGATGCAGTCTACCTGATAACAAAGTGGAGGAACCGTTTACTTTCGCAAACAGCAGAATTACGAATCGGAGATCAAATTATAACAATTGAACATTTAGAAAATATATTAAACGATAATAATTATACTAAACTTGATCATGGTTTAACAAAATCAGATATAAAACCTAAAGTCCGTCAAAACTATCGTTCCTGCGTCAAAATATCATCCGACGATGTTGTGAGTATTCTTGCCGAAGAAGAGGAAGTTCAAGGAAAGATGTTATATTTACAACTAACGAAGTTGTTAATAACAATCTATGTTGAAAAATCAGCTCCTATACAGAAAAGTGAGTGCTACTGAATGATAATGAGATATAATAATGCAGAAACAAAGAACATTCTTTTTTAAACTAAATTATGTCGGTTTTAAAGAATTAATTAGCCGTTTCAAATAGTGCCTCGTCATAAAATTGCGACCAATTGTTCTTTCGATGAGTGGTGGTGATTGTGCGCACGATGAGATCTGACCTTCAACCAATGTTTTCTGCTCTTTTTAAGGATTGGAAAGAGCGTGGTGTGTAGTTTTCGTGTGCCGTATGTGGTTCGCATGGCTGTTACAGAAGACTTTTCCTACTTCTCCGTCGTCGTCCACTAAGAAAAAGAATAACAACAAAGAAAGATACTTTATAACTCGAACAGCTTATTTGTCCGTGGAAATCAATGCTCAAAACTTGTTATATTTAATTCTACTCGTGCAACAACAACAACTTCCTAAAGAAGTCTTAAACATTCATCTTTTCAATTCACAATCATGTGAATCTATCGTTCGTAATGCTAGAGCTCGTAGTGGTTTTAAAATAAGAATGTTCATGTTGTTTTGGTATTTCATCTCGAATTCTTAGTCCATGTAAATTTGTTTTTGTTGTTTTAACACTATTTTCTTCATCTTCATCACTGCTTAGTGCATTCGTATCACTTTCTTGGTCGTCACTTAACTAAGTGACGACCAAGAAAGTGATACGAATGCACTAAGCAGTGATGAAGATGAAGAAAATAGTGTTAAAACAACAAAAACAAATTTACATGGACTAAGAATTCGAGATGAAATACCAAAACAACACGAACATTCGTATTTTAAAATTCATATGAATGATAAAGTGCAATATATACACCAGCAAACAGCTTGTTATTTATTAACAGTAGAGAATTCAACGTTGTCTACTGATCGTTTATCTCGCGTAATGCAGATGAGCAGAAAATAACATTAACATTTCTTTTATCGTTTTTTTCTTTCTGGTTCCTACACTATAGCTACAATCTCGACGAAAAACTGTCGGCCTGTTCACCAGTGAATCAAGCCATTCAAGATTAGTATGCGAAACACTTTTCACCTTCCGAGTACTTGCTTTCGAATTAAATTTCTATCAATCAAAGCACAAAAAGACGTAGTATTTTATACAGTTTGGTAGCGCAGAAAGAACTACGTCGAACAGACATAAAACTAGTCTCTGCTTTCTGTTCCACATTTCGAAAAGTATAAAATACCAAAGTATTCGAGAAAACTACTCGCTCATCTGTGTTTATTTCCGTTATTCACTTCAAATTTCTTGGTAAAGAGGAGCCATAGTTTCAGACTTTTCGCGCGATTGTTATAACTACGCGAATAGAGTTGCCAGTCTTTATTAAACACATTTGCAACTATAGCGGCTCGAAAAATTATTTGTCTACTTATACAGTGTGACTTTGTTTTGTGTGCTACTTCAAAACGGAACAGGACAGAGAGCTCGTCAAACGTCATCGTGTAGATCATCCTACACATAAAAAAATTCCCGACAAACTTGTCCAACCATTTGCAAAACTGAGTTTATCAATACAGTCACATGGTAGCTTTTGTTCGAGTCATCATAACCCGACAGAAACGAATTCTCTTTTTATCTCTTAGATGTTTTCTACTACAAGTTGATGTGGTCCATCTGGTACTGAACACTTTGTACTTTTGAAAGAGCATCTTTTCAACTTTCGATCTATTGTTGCAGCTTCTCAACTTTTGGCTTTATATATGTCATTTTCAACTGTTCAGCTTTTCGACTCTTCAACTTTTGATTTTATATGAAATCAAAAAAAAAGAAAACTTGAGAGTGAAAAATATCAACTCAAAAGGTGAAAAGTCGAAAAAATAGATTGAAAGTTGAAAATATAGGTTTTTTGATATCAAAAGCTGAAGTTCTTTTTAACTGTAAGATTCATTGTGTGATACTATGAAACTATGAAAGTGGTACTTTGAGTCGAAGCAAATCTTGGACTTCTACACCACTCGTATCACAGTATCATAGTACGACTTCCTAATTTCACAGTTTCATAGAATGCCTTCCATAGTTTCACAGTATAATACTGCGGCTTTCATAGTTTCACAGTACCATGCACGACTTTCATACTTTCATAGTTTTCCGGTATCAGTGTATCACTTGCTTTTATTAGTTCTTAGTCATTTTTGGTTGGAAAAACTTGCTGTTGAACATGGTGGCAGAGCAAACATTTCCCTACAGATTGATGTAAAAATTTTTAAAAGTTTCAATCCACATTTGTGTTCCACAACAAAGCACTACAAAAGCTCTGAATACACATTCGGAATGAGCTTAAAATTCTGATTTTAGTACACACTTTTGGAATCTTTAGACCATTTTTATGTTGGAGAAAAATGGTTGAACTTTTTTGTCACATCTTTCTGTCGCATTCTGTTACGGCTACACAGTCGTGAAACTAATTTATTAAAAAATTAAAAGCTTTAGAAAAACATGTGTTTTTATTATATTTTGTGTGAATTTCAATTAACGAATCATTCGCAGCAGTCGTAGAATAATGTAAAGCGCTTCTCTGTCATGTTTGTATAAGAGAGAAAATATATAAAAGCTATCGTTTCTTCAAAAATACCCATCTCCGATTATTCTACGATTGCTCCGAATGATTCATTCGCTCCGATTAATTCAATCGTAATCTGGACGACTTCCGTTACAATTTAATAAAAAAAATGCTTTTTCATTGATCCATAACGATCGAAGCTCAACGTTGTTAATAGACAAGTGGATATCCGTGGTGGGATACTCACTTGGAATATTGTTAGATCCTGGAGAGAAGATTACATCTTTCACATCGTAGAAGCCAGCTCATGGAGATGTGAAGCCTACTCATATTGTATTCAGGAGTGCTATTGCTCTGTCTGCTAGTAATAATCTTAGCTTAACAGAGCTGGGCAAGTCAGAGGTTTTGGAGGTCACAAGTCAAGTCGAGGTCAGAAAATATGTTAGAATTCATACATGACACCCAGGTACAAGGTTTACTTTCCGTTGATTGTTTTCTGTTTTAATTAGGTTTTTTCCTCAGGATAGAAAAAGTAAAATATAATTTTGATTTTCAAAAAATAACCTTAAACTAAACATATTCTTATTTTTCTTCGTTTAATTATAAGAAATAATATCCTTATTTTTTTTTAATGCGACTGTTTATAACAGAAGTTAATTAAAAGAGCATTCTCACTACTGCTGAGGAAAGAAATTTGATTAACTTCTGAAACTCGACCTAAATGTGCGCGACCTACGAGGCATATCATCGGATGGAAATGTAGAATAAAAAGTGCCATAATATTTAATTATTGTTCTGTCTCATCGTAAAATAGTTTAAGAGGCGTCTTCAATACAGATTTTTTACACTTTTTGTATGGTCGTTCATTTCACATCTGCTCGGTTCCTTTTGTTATTTCCGGAGAGAAGCACTTTCTGTAAATTAAATATATTTTTAAAGAGACACATTCTCTTGAAATAATTTCATTGAGTCTGTCACACTGACCATTGAATGAATTCATGGATAATCTGACGAATAACACTAATACTTCATCGACATTCGATGATGAGTCAAGTCTAAGACGACGTATTATAACAATTCTATTATTAATAACATTTTCTATACCGTCACTGATCTGTTTTCTCTCGATATTCTATCAATTTATTCAATTACGTAAAGTATTGTTATTTGATCGAATTAATCATCATGTTATATTGTGTATATTAATTTGTGATTTTCTTTTGATATCAACTGAACTACCATTTTCATTAGTTTATCTTTCTTTGGGTCATGTTCCAACTATAAAACTGTGCACATTTTGGATTTATTGGGTTAGATCAGTCATTAAAAGACATACCAAAAATAGGCTTAACAAATGAATAATTCAAACATAGTCTGTATTCGCAATCTTGATTTTTTTCCTAGTTTAGTTCGAGGCGGGAAACAGTTTTTTCTCGATAAATTGAAAGTTAAAAATATTCTTTTGATTGTTGGTCCCAAAAACAAATATTTCCGGATCCGATTGACACAAGACGTTTTTTATGAATAATCCTTGATTATACGCTTGAAACCATGTCTTTATTTCTAACTATGTATGCTTCGATTGAACGTTATTCACTGGTATTCCATAAAGGACGTTTTATAAAACGAAAAATTTTATGTCATTATATACCTTTGACAATTGCTTGTCTTTACATTCCTACTTTATACGTCTATTTTATTGTGCGCTTTCCATGCACCGAATATCATCAGTATAATCTAACTCAATTTGCATGTGGTGGTGCTTGTTATGCATATGCTTTTATTGAAACAACATACGATACCATTGCTAATACAATGATACCCAGTTTTCTTCTATTAATTTTTAATCTACTGATGATCATGCGTGTGATTTTACTGAAAAGAAAAATTTCTGCCACATCTTCATTGCCATCGAATACATGGAAAAAAAATCGCCGTATGATTTTACAGTTATTAACAATTAGTTTAACATGTTTAATAGCATGGATGCCGTGGGTGGTAATCATATTTGTACAAGATTTTTATAATTCATCGTTTGGTCAGAATTTTATAATCGTCGTTCTTTATTATTTACCATATTTTACAAGTTTTCTTTCACCATTTCTTGCACTGATCGGTTTAAAGGAAATACGACAAAAATTAAAAGTAAAACGATCGACTGCTACGCCGAACTCGACTTCTACAACAGCAGAAACAGCCAAAAATCAGAAGATTTTGGCATTAAATCAATTACCCCGTTTTTAATATAACCTATGCGCAACAATTGTTGTTCTGATCTGAAAATGATTATCCTCACCTCATACTAAAGAAAGTTTTTTCTAAATTGTTTTGTTGCTTCTGTTTTTGAAAAATGTGGAAAATGTGTTCCTGCAATTCGGTACCCTTAGCAACATCAAAGGTGATTTTTGTGTGAGTTTTTTCTCACAGAACTAGTGCCTACATACAAACAAGCACCGAAACTAAGAAATTTTTATACTCTATACAAGACTATTTTAAAAAAAAACGATTTTAAAAGTTCTCTGATACTTTAGGAGCACAAAGAGTTTCCCTCGCAACTCATGAAGTATATTTACGAGTAATGAAGTTAGTTATTATTGTTTTTCCAAAGACAAACCATTAGACCGGTGTATACTTTTTCCTGTTGCATGCAATACTATCAAAGAATATTTAATGACATTCATAGAAAATTTTCTTTCTGTAAAACTTAAAAAAATGAATTAGTTACAGTTTTTGTGTATTTTCTATTGCAGGAAACAATTTTGTTTGCTCTTTTTGTCTGATGAGTTCCGTAATGTTTTTCTAATATATTGGAAAATGATGACGTTCATCTGAATCGATAAAGAAAATATAATTATAATAGTTACCTGGAAAAAAAATGATTAATTTTTCTGTGATGTCTCATTTGGAGAAGAAGGATGTTAGAAATAAGATATATTTTCTTCCTTGTCTTGATTCCGTCTGTTCTATTACAAGACTATTGTGCACGAATGACGCTGATCAGTTTTGGGAATAAAGTTGAACCCATAAATGCTCTGGACCTAATTGGTACACTTTTCACTGTCGAATCTTAAATGCGCTAGTTATTGTACAACAACCGTCAATTGTTTTAATCTTCAATTACGATTCAACTGTCTCTCGTTGCCACCTATTCCAAAGTGGCATAGCTATACCTTTACCATCGTCAACGTCAACCCATGTAGAAATTTTTCAGTTAGTTTCTGCGTTAAACATTAAAATAACGCAGAAAAGAGCGACTTGTATACAAAATTTTGCAAAAAGGTCAACTAACACAGAATTTTGTCGATAACTTTTTTGTTACTTTTTGCAAAATTTTGTTATTGCAAAAAATATGACAAATTTATTGCGAATTTTTGCAAGAAACAAAATTTTGCAAAATAATTCAACCAAGTATTTACAAAATTTTGAAGAAAGGTTAGCTAATGCAGAATTTTGTGGATAATTCTTTTGTCATTTTTGCAAAATTTTGTTTTTGCAGAAGATATGACATTTTTATTGTGGATTTTTGCAAGAAACAAAGTTTTGCAAAATTATTCAATCAAATATTTACAAAATTTTGTATTAGCCCAAAATTAGTAAAAGTTTTGCGTTTTTTCGCCAAATAAACCTAATACGTACTTTGCCTTGTCCGTATGTAACCCATGTCAAATTTTTTCACGATTTCTGCAGAAAAGTGCGTTTTTTGGGTGGGTGAAATATGATGACTCATCGATGAGTCATCATATTTAGTGTATGACATATTTAGTGTAATCAAAAAACTTATTGAATTTTATGCGAATGTAACTGTAGTGGAGCGGAATTCTCTGTCGTCTGACTGTTCGGATAGCCCCAAATGTCTGCTGTCAGAATCTATGATAGTAAGACCTTCATCCAAGATTTCTGCAAGGTTCTCAGGAAGTTTCGCGGAAGCCTTGAGAAACTTGACGATACAGATGGATAAGCCATTGATACCACCAGATGCACTTTAGGATTTTACACCAACTGTGTGTGTCAACAGCTAAGAGTGCTACTTTACATGGGGTTTGATGTGGCTGCTACATAATATCCAGTGATATAAACATAACTGTATTCAAAGTGATATTTGAAGTTGCAAGTAATTGTTTTGATATTATGTAGCAGCCACATCGCATCACACCCCATGTAAAGTAGCCACCTTAGCTGTTGACATACACACAGCTGGCGTACTAAAGTGCATCTGCTGTTTTCAATGGCTTATTCATCTGTATCGTCAAGTTTTGCAACAGTATTAACACCAACAGGTAAAATAGTATTAATAGCAGCAACATGTATGGGCAGTCATCGTGGCTTGTTACATTCGAAAAAATTGTTAGATGGAAAAAAGAAAAAAAGTAAGGTCAAATCGTAATGACCAAAATGAACAAAATCCCAATGAAAACTTTTCTTGATTGTAACAGTCTTTTTTTGTGACAGTATCATTGTTCGTAACATTGATTTTGACAAAACAAATTTCCCTCAGCATAGTACGCATGTGACCGCAAATCTGCCATACGTTTCTTCTAGTTTACAAGTGACTACAAATTTATATTGGATAATCAATTTAAGGGGTATAGACACAAATCAGCAAAAAGTTTTCCAAGTTCAGACATGTATGCATTTCAAATTTGTCTTTCCAGACTCGGAAACGGAGTCTGGAACAATTTTGCAGCGTGTAATGGTGCTGCCCTTAATTACAGAAGCAAAAATCCATCAACACATATTATCATTAGAACACCGGCGAATGGAAAAATGTATGACTGATTCTGATTTGCACACTTCTCACAAATAATTTCCGAAAGAGGCTGTCTCGCACTATTAAAACGCCAAAATACTGGGTCTTATAGCCTCTTAAACAGATTATAAGTACATTTCTGGAACATTCTCAATTCTTCGTGTTTCCATTGCGTATACAGAATAGGTCTTGTAAAAATTCAAGATTCTACAGTTTTGTCATCTTTACTTAACAGCCTGAAACCCAGCAGTAAGTCTTCTGGAAGTAATACACGAATCTATTGATTGTAGCTTCTATCTGTGACATGTTACAAATGAACAGGTGTAAAAGTCAAAAGTCTAATTAGACTTTTATGTGGAATTTTCCTGTCAACTCTAATTTTTGATTTCTCGGATGATAACAACAACATGAATGAGAAGTACTATTCCACTAAACGTAACTAGAGCATTCACAGTACACATTGTCAAACTGCACCATTTCGCTTTTGTATACTGCCACAGTGAATTATACTTGGTTAGCATTATTGGCATGACTACAGCAGGGGCACGACTTGCTTCGTCGTGCTCTTCAGCAAAAAATTTGACAAAAATAGTACCACTAAACATGCCACAAGCTCTCTTCTCCCTACTCTGTTCGCTTATCATAAGTACAAGTGAAATAAATGCACAATAAACGCACCGGCGTGTCTTCATTTATGCGCGAAAAATGCACTCACGAGGGAACACCCTCAGGTGCCCCGCTCCAATTTCGTTCGTTCATACATCATTCGATAGGGGACCTCGAGTAGGTAAAAGGCCTAAAAGGATTTCGGCCGACGGTTTTTCCTTCGAAACTTACGGCCAGTTTTCTGATTTCCCAGCGAAAACTAGCATAAAAAGAAAAATTCATAACTCCAACCAGGAAACTCATAGAGAGCTGAAATTCTTTTTGGTAGTAGTCTTAAGGATCTCCTATATACCCTCACGTTAGATGAGCGGCCAGCTATCTCACTATCTCATCAATTGGACGTTTGCTCATGTAAACTGACGAGTGAACACTACCAGGTGCCCTG